TTGCTACAGGAATGTAACAATTTCTGGAAGAATGGTTAAATGATAACTGCATGTTAATTGAGTAAAGAACCAAACCTTTAGTCCTTGCACTTTTGACCAAACTTTGTCTAGTCCGCTTAAAGTCTTAACAATGCCTGTGAAGTCTCCCAGTCTAGTTAGTTGACCATAGCAAAGATGAAATGTGAGATTTCCTTAAGCATACCTTGGTTCAGAGAGGGGGCTCTTTTTCATTATAGCCCTTAGGAATTTTAATATACACACACCAGTTGACATTTCAATGCTCCAGGAGTGAAGAAAGAAATCTGCCATTAATAAGATAATGAAGCATACTGAACACCAGTTGACAACTTCTTGCAGAGCTGTGTACCATTTCCAATGCAGTGTGTTTAAGGAATGGGGTATCAGCATTTCAAACTGATTGAAAAGGGTTGGGGAGACCTGCAGCTATGATACGGACTTTTCTCCACTTTTTAAACTCATTTAGTCCATGCATTTTTATCCAAGGGGACACTGGCAAAAGGGGTGCCATGCATTGTCTGCCCTGTTTGCAGTCCTTTACATCCCCCCAGTCCACGCTTAGTAGAACATCTTACTTTATTCTGCATCAAATTGCCATTTATCAGAAAAATAGGAAAGCACAATGTAAAACATTGAATTATTTGTATAGTCACTGTGTTGAAGATGATGTGAATAACCACACTAACAACTTATTCTTAAGCAGATGCTTGGGCTGGGGAAGAAAAAAAAGAATATCACAGCATCCAAAATATAGATCAGACTGGATCCTGGTGGTGACAGTTCCAGGTATTTAATCTATGCAGAAATTGCATTCCAAACATTTCAGAACTGCTCAGTGTTGTATTCCTTGCAGGCTTCCATTCCCCCACAAATATTTAAGATGAAAAAAAAAAGGCACTGAACCAAAGGCATTATTCAGTAAATAAAAATGTAGCCTAAAAGAAATTTATTAAAATGATGAAAATCTTTAATTTTTTATTCAGATATAATTGTACGGACACGTGTATATACAAATACAGATTTTATGGGTTTGTTTTTTAACACTTTTTGTTAAATTCATATAATGTAAGCATTTTGAAAACAGCACTCAATAAATAAGTGCAAAGAAACTGCAAAGCAGGGCAGTACAAGGACAGGACCACACTGAGTTGGACTTTCATACCCAGAAGCACACAATCAGTGGCTTCAATAGGCCATCAAGGGTAACCGTGGAAAGCAGATTCTGTAGGCTCGTGGGCAACCTCCACTATGCCAGCATCTATTAAACTGGTCAGAATAATGGCAGTAAGATTTTGGCAGCGAGATTAGTCTCAAGTCTGAAAAACATGGGTGAAGGTATGGCAAAAGTAGGGCACTGCAGGTCAGAAACAGATTCGTCCATTCGCTGCTCTATTTTTAATGAGAACTTAAGGGGACTTGGTAGCAGGGAAGAGAAAGAGGAATCTGATTTACTGTAGATGGAAACAAAATTATTAAACCTACATAACTGGACTATGGAAAAAGTTTGGTATTTTTCAAAATTTGCAAAAAATTGATTCAGCCACCGCTGAATATGTGAAAAAAATCCAAACACACATATTCCCTTGGTAGCTATTATTTCTTTCCTTCAACAGTTATATAGGAAAGAAAATTATTTACATATAACCCCCTGCTACATTTGGTGTTCAATGGGGTGAGGAATCAAGTCACTGTACATTATCACTTATGTCGCTGGGAAGGCCCCTTTTGAAAACAATCACCCATGAAAAGAAAAAGGAATAAACTGGAAGGAAAAAAATTGTTTTCACAAGAAGGAAGAATAAAATCCCAAACTATTGTGAATCCACATGCTAATGAAAACCTAACACCCAAAGAAAAATACCATGGGCTTCCAACAATAGACCATTAATTCCACGGACAAAACATCGATAACCAGATGCCACAATGCTCCAAGTCCTGCCATTGTGAAATCTTGAGAGTGGCTGAATGGCTTTCATGAGTGAATCCAGTATGGGGAATGACCTATGGTGGCTACATCATCAGTAACCATGATGGATTTTTTTGGGATATATCCAAGAAGGTGAATTGTTTATTTAAATTTTAATATCACGAAAATCTATTTTCTTCTCACTTACAAAAGACATAATCAAATTAATACTTTATTATCAAACACTATGTACAACAGAGGCTGCTAATAATACAGAATTTAAAGAACATAGCATTTTTTTTGTCTTAACTTGTCTTTCCTTCGCCAGCTGAGAAAGTACAGTACAAAACAATATTTCTAAACTAACACAAAATGTTACCTTGTTGTCTATTAAAGGATACACAGTATCCATCACACAGATCAATCCTTATTTCCCTGCTACCCTTTTCAAAGCCCTTAGCAAACTCGGACTGGATGACACAGGGCAGACTGTCTGAATTGAGGGGACCAAATGTTGTATCTCATATTCCATGCTTGAGAACAGGGGCTATAATAAACGTACATACTGACATCTTTTTGAAGATGCCAGGACAACACGCACGCACACACACGCACACACACATACCCAAGTGGGAGATATTAAAACATTTTCAGGCACTGGCCACATTTGCATGAATGCACCATAAGGCTTGGTTAGCATCAGTGCTCCTGCGTGAGCAGCAAACCTTGTAAAATATCAGTTCCAAGGTGATACAATTCAGGGCCTGCACATACCATAGAATATAGCTATGGCTTGCTTATGGCTAATTTCTTTGATAAGGAGTCATGATTTGCTTTCAGATGGAACATACAAATGGATGGTTTAGTATCTTCAGTGTTCAGAAGTATTTATACTAATCAAGTCTTATGTCTCACTATGTCCTGTGAACATGGCCATTTCTTGCTTAATAAGATTGCCTGATGCCATCAAATATCCGAAGGTCCTGTGAACCTACTGCCGACAAGATCTGCATTTGAGGCAATGTAGCAATTAGCATCTGAACTGTAATTACAGTGTTGCTTTTATTCATTAGATTAGCAGTGGCGCCGTGGCAAAGCAAAAGTTTGAATTCACTGTGGTGATAATCTGTGGTTTAGAAAGCGTGCTATTGAGGCAAGTGAGTCCAGCCTTTTATTATTTGTAGATAAATGATGAAAAAACAGCTATAGCCATTGTTAGGACAATGGACAGTGTGACTCATATTTGCAATTGGTAGGTTACACTTGTAGGATCTTAATTCATGTGCAACATTGTCTTTACCTTGATCACTATTTTCAAGGTCATCCCTTCCTACATATGCACCCAAAATACATATTGAAGAGAGGAGATTGATCGATTGTACTCTGAGGAAAACAGTGCCATTTCTCAGGGTTGATTATGAAACTCTTTTTTTATTTGTGTGCTATATCAGACATCTCTGTGCTTTCAAATACAGCCCAGGGCGCCTTACATTTACCATTTTATTCATGCTATTTTTGAATCCTGAAATTCTGCAAATTGTTCTTTAGAAAAAAATGCTTTCTTTTCATAATACAAAGAATACAAATTCTGTCCATTTGCATTATGATTTAGTATTAATTTTTTTTTGCTATCTTGTGAAAATTCAGCAAACCCTACCCTCATTTTTGTAAAGTTTTGTTCTCATTAATTTTGAGAAAAAACTAAGTTTCCTAAGTAATTTTCATGATCTCTCTTATTTAGTAAATCTAAATTTGGTCTGCCTAAGTTAATGGAATAATATAAAGAAGGCATTTCCTGGTAAATGTTTTATGAGGCTATATCACAGCTGCCTAAGGATTCACCCGATTTCAACCAATCAGCACCCCATAATCTTGTCACAAATTACCACATTTTATCATCTTTAAATAGGACAAGCATATATAATTATTTTCAGCATAAGGTATATCTAGATAATGTATTTTCTACTCTAGTGGATTTTTAAAAGCAACAAAATAGTTAAAAGTCTTTGGGAGTCTGTCTAATTTATCTCCTGTCAATGAAGACATTTACACTACTTTTCAACTGTGTTGGAAAGGAAGAGGGAGATGAGATCAATGCCTCAACTTTCACTCTACAGTTCAAAACAATCTTCTTGTACTCTGTTCTTCCCATGCAGAACTCCCCTCCACCCTCTATGACAAATGTCCTGGTTCCTTTACTCCAAGAGTTGCCAAACTTTCAAGGAGGCAGAATTATCATGACACTGGGGATTCTGTATCACTCACCAGGTTTACTCCACCCTGAGCTATTATCAACGTAGTATAAATCACCACCCAGAGCTGGATCCAAGGCTACTTGGCTACTAAGTCAGCCTTGGGAAAGGTCACTTTATTCACACAGAAAAAATATTTTAGAAGTACAGAAATGCCTTTTTGCATTTGAACAAAAATTGCTGTAGCACCACGGTATCTGAGTCAAAAGAAATCTGGTGTGCACTATCCACCGAGAGTGATAACAGAGGCACTATCACTCCAACATAGTTTCCTAAATCTGACCTTGCATGTCGGTAGTCATTTTTTTTTCTCCCCTAATGACAGAGCTTATGTTATGGAGCATAACTTCTACAGTCAAGGACCTTTCAAGGCAGTTGCATACAAATAATATCTCTTTCCTTTGAGGAGCCTGATCACTAAGACATATCTATTCTTAATATCTTCCTTCCAGTCCTGACATGGTGACACAGTGCATTGCATGATCGTCTTACAGTGCTGAACGAGGAGAAATAAATATTTTATTGAAAAGAGTAAAAAAACTTCTCTTGGTTTTTTCAAATAACTTCCTTATTCTTCGACTAACTGCATCTCCTATTATTCTTCCTTCTCCATATACAAATGGCCCAGTGAATTAACTAGGCAGTATCTTAAGAGAGGCTGCAGAGGAAAGTAAGAATCACTAGTGTCAATATTCAAATTTGGCATTTTCATTTGGAGTCCATTTATTTTAGAAGGGATCAAGGAAAGCCAGGGAAAGCTTGGGAGTAGGAAGAGGTCTAGTTATTCCTCTTCAATTTTTGCTCAAAGTTCAGGTTGCAGAGGAGAGAAAGGGAGAAGACTGGGGAAGGAGAACAAACCAACATCTGCAAACCAATACAAAGTCCCGTTGCTGGGATGAGCAGTTAAGTGGATCTTTGATGTTCCAGGATCCTGAAGTTGACTGTGGCAGCTTGCTAGAATATGTGCTATAACGTCAAAAGCATTGCTAGAAGGAACAGTAGAGTTGTGAAAGGCTGACTGGATATCCTTAAGGTCTGAGCTGCATTCTCACCACGGGATGGTTCAGCCGATTCATGTACAGTATCATCTGTTCAAACAGAAAGCACACATTTGTACTTTTTTCCTCCAAAGATACAGACAAAATAAATATATTTTAACACATATTATTTTAAAACTTTTTAACAGCCCCTTGGTTAAGTACCATGTGTTCCAATTAAAAAAATGAAACCAAAGGGAATACCCATTGAAATGTTGGACATTGTTCTCTGAATTAGTTTTAGATTTGTATTTGTCTTATGTAGTTAGCATGCAGAAAATTAATAAATGTCCAAATGATAATTTACCAGTTCCAAAATAATTCCAAAGTGTCTGCTAGTAAAATCTGGCTACATAAAATTTTAAACAAAGATAAGAGGGTTGTGGGAAGACTGACTTGATGAGAGATCTTGTTGAAGAGAAAAATTGTATCAATGCATGTTTTCCTTAAAATATAGAATATTATGATTTTGTTAGAAAAATGGGAAATGAAAGCAATTAAGCACAAAGATGAAAAGCTGCTGTAGCTGCCTATCAGTAGATAACAACAGAAGCTCTGAAATACCATATTTAAAAAGATGACACATCATTTGAGAAAGCAGCAAAAATCACATCATAAAAATATTGAGAGATGGCGAAATGGCCACAAGCAGAAATTATGCAGAATGACTTACTCTGCTTTTTGACATTTCTAAATAGTGCTAAAGAGTCTCTCTCTCTCTCTCTCTCTGAAAAGGAATAATGATTGGAAGTAACACCAAAAAACCCAAATGGTCTTTTTCAGTATAAATTAGTTTTCCATGGCATCTAAGTTATAAAGTAGGAAAATACTTACCTAGAAAATTTAAATGTTAACTATGAGAGACTTTGATTAAGATTTAAAACTATCCAGAGACAGTGAATTTAATTGTAAAGTTGCTGGCTTCCCTATCCTGAACGGAATTAATTTCTGTGTTTATGAGCAAATGCATCTAAATTGTCATAATTATTTTTAAAAGTTTCATTGCTGTTTATAATATAAAAATCATAACATTAAACAATATCTAACCTTAAAAACATACACAACATATAATACATTTAATTTTATGTTGAAAACATTCAGTTTAGGCACCAGGAATGTCTCTTAGGAATATGAGATGAATGTACATCTTTCAATATGTAAAATGAAGGTAAGGCTATGGCTCTTTCATTGGGAGAAGCACATTTATTTTGCATTAAGTGCCCTAACAACCAAAGGACATAAACTTGTTTTACTCAGTAATTTCTATATCCACATCTCTGTAGAAGTTTGATTCTGTTAAATTTAGAGGATAGGGATGCAGTAGAAATTAGTAGAGTGGTACAATGACAGCGACTATAATAAGCTTTAGGGTATTCCTTTGAAAACTTCATGTTGCTCCTTTTGGGAATTATCTTAGGTTCTCAGTTTCTGACGTCTCTCTTTGCCAGAGGGTCTGTGCCTTGGATTCACTCCTTGTCAGCTTTTCTCTTCATCAGAGGGACTTTGTTTGCCCTGCTGTCCCTTCAGCTTCCTTCATCTGAGAACCTCTGCCTTAACCTTGTTTGACTTCCTCTGTAGGCCTCAGGTAGCTCTAGAACAGGACACTCAAAAATCAAGAAATTGAATATTTCTTGAGTTTTCTCCCCAGTGGGGAGAAATGGGGAACATGATCTTGATATAAGGAGAATGTCTAAAGCAATGCAATGTCTAGAGAAATATGCAGACAATTTAGTATTTAACATTCTTACAATATTTTTTAAAAAACAGAACCAGCAGGTACACAAATAAGCTTCACTGAGATCAGCTTCACCTGCTCTTATTTAGTAATATACACATTAAAGTATCTATAGTACACTATTAACATAAATGTACCAAGAATATTATCATATCCAGTTGTTCATTTTTTAAATCTGAAATCAATTTTATTTTACTCATTTACTGCAAAATACAGTGCATATATTTTTCTCTAGGACATTGTAAAATTCTGTCCAAAATTCATCTATAGATTGGGGCAGGGTAGCAACTAGATAAAATATATTTAAATTCTCATGGACAACATATAAAAGTGTCTATAGGTATACATCACATTTTTTTACTTAAATATTCATCTCTTGAATGGAAACACCAAAAAATGGGGTGGGAATGGGATTAGAACTATTATGTTTTTAAATGAGGTACTATGTTTGAATAAGCAGATTGTCATGGAAAAAGCATACTTTTTCTCAACATCTTACAAGAGAATTCTAGCATTAGCAAATTAGATACACCATAAGCAATATTAGCGCTGCAAGAAATGAGTAAAAGCAGAATCATTTTACCATGCAAACCATGCAAAGAGAAAGAAAGAGACGCGAAAGCTGCAGAAAGACAGAGCCATTTGTTAAAAGAGAGTCTCTAAGCATACTAACCTGCTGGTTCTAATGAATTTTCTACTTTGTCGTTAACATCGAAAACACGATCATGAACACCTATAGTTTTCATACAGTTGTCTATAACAAAAATAGAGATAACAGCCAAATAAGTTAGTGAGACACCCTTAAAATCCCCATTTTCCTTTTTTTTTTTTTGCTGTTGTCTTCATGTCTGATTTCTATTTCTATTATAGGTATATATTTATATCTTAACTGTGGCCTGCTTTGCAACACCACAGTAGTTTTCTTTTTGTACCACCGTTTAAGAAACAACAAGTTAGCAACTGATGCATATGAAAAACAAATAAGAAAACTGCTTTGTGAAAAATGATTAAAAGATATGGCAAAAACAAAAAGAAATGATGCTGAAAAGAAGAGATACCACATAGGATTTTAAAAGTTAAAAGAAGTTTATACTGCTGTTTACTAAACCGAAGCATGCACTATAAAGCCACCCTCTAAAGCAAGGCATAAGGCACTTACTTGCAGGCCGTACATAGACTTTCAGCTTTAAACAGGCTCTCCTTCCATTATCAGGGATTGCAGATGCTGAAAAAGAAACAGGAGATTGGAGAGCATAGTTATTCTCCATCTTAAGGGACAACATCCAACATTCTTCTTTTAATAATCACACCATCTACATATTATTGGAGATGTTCAAATATCAAACAAAAATTTTAAACTATCCAGTGTTCTGTATTTTTAGATAAAATAAAACTTTATTTTATTCATTTTATTTTGCTTTCCTCCCAAAACGTGGGGTTAAAGCAGCAATGATATGCCAAATTTTCTATCCCTTAACATCAATGTATATAAATTACAAAGAAGGGTAAATTGATGGTCTTTCCTTGGGAGCCCAAAATTCAGAAATTGTTTACTTTAACCAGAAGATGATAGCGATATGGTCTCCATTATGTTGCTGAACTGTATCTCTAATGATCCTTTACTTTTGGTTATGTTGGCTAATAGTCCTGGGAAAATTTTATTGGATTTATTCCTGCTTCAGTTAAAACACAAAATCTATATAGAAATAGGTTCCTCATATCTACTTTACAGATATTGTGTGACATAATATGCTTCATCAAAGAACTCGTATCATGAACGGATCTAGAGAAAATGGCAATTTGAATACAATAGTGGAATTGCAGAATAGATCTCTACATGGCCTGAATCAAAATACATTCATGATGCATATATGTATATAATATGTTGCATTTTGTTTCAGAAAATAAAACAAGGTTTTATTTGGAGTTTCCATTGCAGCTTTAAAAAGAAATTAGCCTAATAGGACCCAAAGATGCTTTTTCAAAAGGCAACTGGACTTTGTTTTTCCTTGAAGACTTTTTGCTTCTCATCCAAGAAGCTTCTTCAGTTCAGTTCTGAAAAAGCTTCTTTAGGACAATCATGACTGGATGTCTGAGAATCTCCATAGACATTTTGTCTATTAGGAGTTTAGGTGACTTACATGCATGTGAGAAATGATTTTTTTATATATATGTTTCAAATTTTCTGCAGCTATGAAAAATATTTCAAAGGTTTGTTTTGAAAATTGGGTTAGGATGAACAAAGTACATCTGCTTGAAGCAACTTCCTTTGGAAGGCTTGTATGGCTGCTTCAAAGGGTAGCTTTGATTTTTTTTTCATGCATAATTACTTTTCTTCACTATTGGATCAGACAAAACAATTATCTATGTATGTATATATTCATAAAAATCACTAGGTTTAAAGCAGCCATATGAGCCTTCCAAAGGACACGGCTGTTTTAATGCTTTAAATAGGGGCATTTCTCTTGCACTCTACGCTTTTGGCTCTAATCTTGTCCACTTTGGCCTTTAATGTATCAATACAGCATTGAAAACCGAATACAGGTAGTCCTTGACTTACAACAGTTCATTCAATGGATGTGACAGTGAAAAATGTGACTTATGAGCATTTTTCACACTTATGACCGTTGCAGCATCCCCATGGTCACATGATCAAAATTCAGATGCTTGGCAACTGAGTCATATTCATAATGGTTGCAGTGTCCCCTTTTGTAATCTTCTGAGAAGCAAAGTCAATGGGTAAAACCAGATTCACTTAATAACTGTGTTACTAACTTAACTGCAGTGATTCACTTAACAACTATGGCAACAGAAGTCGTAAAATGGGGCTAAACTCACTTAACAAATGTTTCAGCAACAGAAATTTTGGGCTCAATTGTGGTCGTAAGTCAAGGACTACCTCTAGGTGCTGATTCTATAAACCAAGCAGTCATAGATCTATTCTTGTACAAGGCTGAGTTTATATTATTTATCTACCTACATTAACAAATAACTGAAAATTATAAATCTGTACTACCTAGAATTAAATGTGGCATGTTTGCTAAATTGTCTCTTATAAACTCCCTGGACTTAAGCTCTATACATAACTTAGCTAGTCTGGAATAAAGATTCTAAGTAAGTTGTCTGTCTGACTTGGACATTCCAAGAGATTGTGATTTATTCACGTAAGCAAAGTTAACTTTCCTTCTATTTTTCAGCAAAAGCATTTGATGGTTTGGGCCATTATTGTAAGAGCTTGTGTCCAAGTAATATATTAACATAAACAAATGTATCTATCTATGTGATTGCTAAGATTCAATACTGACTTGACAGCACATAATCAATCATAACAACGTAAAATGTGTATATATTATATACATACACATGGAGGAAAACCATGAGAAATAAATTATTCCTGACAATATTGAGGTTGAACAGGACTTTTCTTTTCAATCAGCAGACACATTCTTCAACCCTTTATTATGATATGGGGAATTCCTTCCCTTAGAGTAGGGAAAATATGATTCAATTATCATATAGTCCCAGGAGTAAAGATAGTGGATGGATTTTATCACTAAATGTCCTGGTAAAGAGACATTGCTATAATAGTTCAGAAGTTTGAACATTTTATCAGGGACTATTCATAGTTAACTTGGAATCCTGATGTGCAATTATCATTGATTTTTTTAAAATGCTTTTGAATACTACAAATAATTATGTCTGTTAATATCTGATTTTGTTTGCTCATAAATTAATGTATGTGATATATTATTAATGGTTTGTTGATATTTATAGTTTTATTTATGCAGCATAGCAAAATGAATTATGATCCTATGGCATTCAGATAATAGATTACCAAAGATTGGAGATTTAAGAGTGTATCTGAAATACAGAGATAACACAATGCTAAATTAAGATCATTTTTACTGATTATGATATAAATTCAAAAAGGCAACGGAAGATTCTTCAAAAATAATAAATGTTATGATGATGCCATAAAGAATGCAACAGTATATGATCTACTTGACTTGGTGAAAATTGGAGACAGTCCCATGAAGACTGAGCAAATACGTTGATAAATAGTTCTGAAAGTTCTTATTAGATGAACATGAACTTAAGGTTGATAATCAGTGGTTTGTGTATACAACCAGTCAATACTCCGCATACTAAATTTCAAGGTAGGTAGAGCTTACAGGGATTTAAAGGGTAACTTGCTTAAAAACAACGATATGCTGCTTTATAAAACAATTGTTCATGATGCAATGCTGCATTTTTAGATTTTTCCCAAAATGATCCTAATTTGAAAAGCATATAGATATAGATAGAATCAGGAACTCTTCAGAACATTGATGTAAAGATATTTGCTTTCAAAATGACAAAATATTAGGTTAAGAGGGAAAAAATCCAAGACAAAAAAAGATTAAGAGGCATAAGAAGTCTGCCTCTTTTAATCATAAACAAAATTGCACAATGAAGTTACTCAGCTCTAACTCATATTCAAAAGACAAATACTTAAGTGCTAACAGCTGGCTTCCCTGTGTGCTCTCAATAAATCAAATATGGGGAAGCCTTTACTGACATTTATTGTAAAGAATGTGTTACAGGGCAAAGTATTGCACTCTGTGGAGGCATGCAGGAAACTGGCCACCTTCCAGAGGCCTCTGATGAATATACAAATCTTATTCAAGACAGATTAGGTGGCTTAATAAAATAGAAATATCATATTATCTACCTAACAACAGATATACAGGTACAGAAGAAACTTCCTTGTTACTTTAAATGACAAAAATGTGAGATTGTTTCTATGCCACCCTGTCTTTTAATTGTCTTTACAAATGACACAGAAAAGCATAAAAGCATATTCAAAGGCAGGATTGTCCATTTTTATATTTATACATTGTAAATATAAATTGGTTTTGTAAAGCTATGTACGATGTTCTATTATACACCGAGGCAATACTTTCCATAAATTTGCTTTCAGACTACAAAATATTTTTATTACAATAAAAAACTCCAAATACAATTGTAACTTTAACAACCACAGAAAAAGTTTTTAAAACTGTGATGATTATTACATATTTGTTGTTGTTAGTTGCAAAGTCGTGTCTGACCCATCACGACCCCATGGACAACGTTCCTCCAAGCCTTCCTGTCCTCTACCATCTTCTGGAGTCCATTTAAGCTCACGCCTACTGCTTCAGTGACTCCATCCAGCCCTCATTCTCTGTCATCCCCTTCTTCTATTGCCCTCAATCTTTCCCAGCATTAGGCTCTTCTCCAGTGAGTCCTTCCTTCGCGCATTAGGTGGCCAAAGTATTTGAGTTTCAACTTCAGGATCTGGCCTTCTAAAGAACAGTTAGGGTTGATCTCCTCTAGGACCGACCGGTTTGATCGCCTTGCAGTCCAGGGGACTCGCAGGAGTCTTTTCCAGCACCATAGTTCAAAGGCCTCAATTTTTTGGCACTCAGCCTTTCTTATGGTTCAGCTTTCACAGCCATACATTGCAACTGGGAAAACCATGGCCTTGACTATACGTACTTTTGTTTGCAAGATTATTATTACATATAGTCACCCCAAATAGTGAAACTACCGGTATCTTGTGACTAAATACTACTCAAATAGGTCAAAAGAATAAAACTAGCTCAAAAGAATCTTAATATAACATCCCTTTAACATTGCTTAGATTCCAAATGGTTGATAGATTTCCAACTAATAAAGGAGAATATTTGTAGCTCAGGATTGAAATGAGGGGTCCTTGATCCTCTCTGAGGCTGGTTGCCTTTTTGCAGATGTTTCACTACCCAAACTAGGTAACATAGTAAGTGCTAGTTGATGATGTTACCTAGTTTGGATAATGAAATGTCTGCAAGAAAATAACTAAGCTCAGAGAGCACCAAGGACTCTTCAGATTCCCAACTGAATATCCTTACAAATTAACTTGAACACCAAATCAGAAATGATTGTCTTATTTCATCTCTTCCAATCACTGTATATTTTACTATTACATTCTTAATATATTCATTGACTGATTGTGTACCAACTGTCAATGTTGATTCTTAGTGAGCACATTTTCTTCAGGATCATTCCTCCTCAACTTGGTCCTTCAGGTAATCTAACAGTGCAGCCATCATCACTGTAACCAAATCCAATGGTTGATTTGTTTGTTGAATTATTTGATGGTTTCTTTGACTATCTATAGAATTCTTCTTCAACCAAAGTTTAAAAGCATCAATCCTGCTTCTTTAT